CATGACAATCGCAGCTTCTGTCGAATCGCGATCTCGATTCCATTTTGATTTATGGTGCAGCCCTAATATGAAGCAGCTACCGATGCGATCCGATTCACCCCTGTTACGATGCAGTGCGATCCGATTTCGATTCGATTCAACACAATGCGATTCGATGCAATTTGATGCAATGGAGAAAATATGATCACTTTTAATGCCTCAAGGCCTGTTTCATAAAACAAGTTAACCAAATAAGCCAGGCTTATTTCAGTTAGTCTGACTCATTGTCAGTTTGGTTCCATAAAGCAACTTCAGTCACCGTGGCAACTTATGCTGGGAAACTAACCTGGTCTAAAGCAGGTTAACTATCAGACTAAGCCGAGTTCCTCTAACACTGACCAATTGGAACGCTATTATTTGACTTTTTTATTTTTATTTTTTACAGTAGCCAAGCAGAAAGGCTCTCTCTGGTTTTATGACAGCTGTAGGCTACCTTTGCAGAACAGATAGCAGAACAGAACATTACAATCAAAAATGGCTCTTTAAAGCATTAAAATAACTAAATTAAAAGTTAAAATCACTGAATTAAAATGAAAATAAATAATAAAGAATTAAATAAACTGCTATAAGAAACACACATTAACTCATTTGAGCTTAGTAATTAGTACTGAACTAGCTTACATTTGATTACTAAGCTTTGTGTAATTGAGATTGCGATTCGACAGAAGCTGCGATTGTCATGCGTATCATGTGGTCAAATTTAAAATAGTGTTTTATATTGGAATATATATTGCTGCTCAAGAAATATTTCTTATTATCAGTGGTGAAAACAGCTGTGCTGCTTCATATTTTTGGTAAAATAATGCAATAAAAAGCAAAAGTTTGGTAACAAATAAATTAATACTTTTATCAAGCAAGAAGACTTTACATTTTTTAAAAAGTGACAGCGAATGCATTTAATGTCAAGAAAATATTTTTTTTCTTCAAATAAATGCTGCTTGTTTTAAACTTTCCATTCATTAAAGAAGAATCCTAAAAATGTATCAATAAAATACGAAGCAGTTTTCATTTGCTGCTTCAACAGAAATATTGCAAATATTGAGATGAACATATCTGCATCTTAGAGAATATATCACGGGGAATATTGCACAAATGGCACGCGCTTGTGCTGCAGATAAACAAATGAACATTGGTGTAATTACCTGTAATTATAAGAGGGGAACTTCTCGCTCTCCTTCAGAAGCAGTCTGTAGAGGGACAGCACATGCTCTCTGCTGGACGCCGCCATGATGGAAACTGTTCAAAGCAAGGACCCAGAACAGCTACAAGAGGCGCGCCTGAACACATACACTCGCTTTTCTGTTCGAATACAGAAGTCCAGCTGATTTTCAAGTTTAATTAATGAAGTGTTCTATATCTAAAATATCCGAAGGTACTCCAGTACACACAATGCGCTCTAAATAACTATATTGTACGAGATGTGTTGTGTTCACAGTGATCAGGCACATCAGCAGTCGTCTCAATAACAGCACGCGTGTCAACAGAGGTGAGTGGAGGGTTCTTCGGTAGTTTCCGTGCGTGGATTGCACACATTTATTCTGTATTTGTAAATTATGAAATGAGAATTGGTGTCAGGGTGATTATATAGCGGCTGTTATTCGAAGTTGTCAGTTTGAGTGTAACTTGCAGGCTAGCCATAGCTTGATCACAGTAAGAATGTGTTGCTCATGTGCAAGCAGGTCAGATGTGGATTTGGCCTTCACCTCATGCTCTGTGTGGGATTTCAGTTGCTCTGTTGTTTTGATGTAGGTGATAGTATTTCAGTTATTATGTTAGGCTGAAACCCAGTTTTTATAGTTTAGTGCGAACTTATTTACTCTTATGACCTAAAATATTTACTTTAAACACCCCCTGAATGTTTAAATGAATGGTAATTTAAATAATACATGTGAATTTGTTTTGTACTTTGCACAAAAAAATTATATATATATATGTGTATATATAATATTTATTATTAATAATTTTGTTAATTGTCAGTGTATATTTTTAGTTTTAATACATTTCTAATTTAAATAAACGCTGTTCTTATACACACACACACACTATATATATATATATAATTAAAAAAATAAATTTTCAACATTGGTATCTTTCCACCTTTCCACCAGTTTTCATAGACCAAATTCTCACTGTTCTTGAACAAATGAATGACTCTAAAATAATTATTATCATTACGAAATAAAAAATATTAAACAAAATAAGAAATATATTGTAATAATACTAAAATAAATGCTGTAAAATAAAAATAATTATAAAAAATATTTTATTTCACTGTAAAATTGCTGAAATTTATGTATTTCAAAACATCAAGATTTTTTTTGCCAGGTTGCCAGCAATTAAAAATATGCACCGCATATTGTGTAGCCCTACACCAGATGCTTTTAACTTCAAAATGCACAACATTTTCTTGCAGGCGAGCTGGACCCCAGTGCTCCTCTGCTGTTTGAGCTATTGAAATATTGACCATTTTACCAGCTTCCACTTCCATTTCAAGCTAAATGCTATATCAGTTAGAGTTTCTGTTTATTAGCAAAAGTGCAGCTACAAATCCACAGATCGTGTTTATCATGTGCTCTGATGCAAACTGGAGCTCTGCTCCCTCAGCTTCCAGGAGCCTTGTGTTTTCAGGCAGCGACTTCCTGTTCACAAACGTTTTAAAGCCGGGTCATTCCGTGCCGAATCAACAATCATATAGAGCCTTTAAAATGAAGATATCAAAAGAAAGGTTTGTTAAGAACTTCAGTCTAAAAGGATATTAAGATATATTTGGTACTTAAAGGGGTCATATGATGTTGCTAAAAAGAACATTATTTTGTGTATTTGGTGTAATGAAATGTGTTTATGCGGTTTAAGGTTAAAAAAACACATTATTTTCCACATACTGTACATTATTGTTTCTCCTCTATGCCCCGCCTTTCTGAAACGTGTCGATTTTTACAAAGCTCATCGGTCTGAAAAGCGAGGTGTGCTGTGATTGGCCAGCTATCCAGAGCGTTGTGATTGGCCGAATACCTCAAGCGTGTGACGGAAATGTTACGCCCCTCACCATACTGTGATGCCTGCGACAACCACATGTGACGACCCCGGGCTGGACTCCGCTTCGTCCACGGTGAAAGCTGTTGTATTTCCTCAGCGACCAGCACGGATCAGCTCCAGGCATGATGAAGCGGATATCGTCCTCTTTTGGAAGACCAAACAAAGTAGTTTCGCTTTCACAACGAAACACACAGCGCCTTCACGACATGACGGCGGCGGCGGCAACAATACTACAGCGAGAATAAAAGTTACGCCTTCTTTCTTTGCGTGAACATTTGGGCGGCGTTATGCAAATATTTCCACATAGTGAGGTAGATATGTGGGGGCGTGTTAGAACGAGCCATTTTAGGTAGGTGTGGCTGACTCTTAACTTTTATAAAGAATATCTCTTTGGATTTGAGACTTTAGTCTTTGCAACTTTACAGATCTTCTTTATGCACCAAGAGCTTGCTACACTCCAAAGAGAAAGGAAAACTTGAAATCACATCATATGACCCCTTTAAGAGTTGCAGGCATGCAACATTTGGGGAAAATGTGTAAAGTGCTTTTTCCCATATTTGAACTGTCACCTTTGGCATATAATGCAACAAAAAATTAAAAAGTCAACTGATCTCTACTTACAGACATGTCAGTCTTTGTGTAAAAATGATGCTGTCATCTTTCTAATGTCATCTTTGCCCTCTGTATTTTGGCTCCAAATCTCAGCAAAATAGTGGATTACTCAGTAAATAATCATGGTGTTTAATATTTAGGCTTTGTTCCTTATTTATGTGTTTCTTTCACCAGAATCCAATTTTTTAGCCAGGGACCTTTGGTTAAGTTGAATGACCCAGCTTTGATCATAACAGGAGAGATCCATCAGACGGATTTGGCTGCAGATCTAAGCGTATAGTGAGATTGAGTGTGTAGAAATCTGTTATCTCAGAACCTCCTTGTCCACTTTGCCTGTGAAATGCTGGCTAAGGGAATCATATGGCACTCTGTCTTGTGAAGACTAAGAGCGGATGTTTGAACAGCCTTGCTCTAAAATGAAAGTATGAAATAAGTCACATCTCAAATGAATGTCTCTGTGATGTGCTGAAATCTGTGTGAGCCACTGCTGGGAATGACAGTCAACCGCTGGGTCAAAACAACCCAATAGCTGCTGGGTTTGTCCCTTTTTAACCCAGCGCTGGTTTATATTTAGCCCAGCATTTTTTAGAGTGTATATAGCATTGAAATCATTGTAAGAGTCCTTTTTTTTTATTCTTTTTTTTTTTTTTTTTTTTTTTTCCCCCCCC